CGGTTAGCCCGGCGGAACTCCGGCAAGCCCGTTCTCCGTCGTTTCACGATCGTTTCCAATGATTCTTGTTCCGTTGGACTCCTCTCATCAAGCAGGGGAAGATCTCAGAGGTGTTTTAGGGGCTTGGTTATGGCTAAAATGATGGGTTGAAATTTGTGTACACATATATATATATACGTATTTATATATATATATATGAAGTATATGCGACTGAAACTCGTCGTTTCCTTGGTGTGAGTGAAACGCAGGTCTAAGGCTGCTATTTATAGGTGTAGGTTGTGCGTTCTGGCTGCGTTAAAGTTTATCCGATTGATCTACAAGCTCAAGTTTCGGAAGTTTTAATGATAGTTGTTAAAACGAAGCGAAGAAGCTTATGTTTGCGTAGGACTTTACTTGTGTATGTGGACTTTCTGTAGTCTAGGTTCGTGCGGTAGATGTATATGAGGGCCGGTATTATGATTTCGCAGCATCCGCATATATATTTACTAGGTTGTATGTTCAATACATTTTTATCTTTTTAGTTAACATTTATCTCTTGGTTAATATGTATTATATACGTATTATATATTTTGCAGGATTATATACGTTCCTTGGTTAATATACTTCGTATACTATTATTATTATTAATATTATTATATACGTATGTAAATTTGTAGTTATTTAGGCAATCTTCTTACTTTACTATTGTAGCTTATTACTACGTATCACTTCGTATGAAGTTACGTATTAATAGTATATTACGGATCGGAGTATTATTTGTGTAATCTGCACACATATTTTTCTAATAGTAATTGTCACTTTTATCTCATATGATTATCATTAAAAAAAATGTTACTTCTATTACCAGAAATGTTATCTAAATAAAAATGTCACAAAATATCATAACATTTTATCTGATCAACAAGATTATTTTATTTAAATTTTTGAGGTGTCACATTAGGAAATAGTTGTTTATATAGATATCAATTGAGCTATATATTATTTCTCAGCCCTGGAAATTGTGGAAAAGTTCATGAATTGAAACTATTTTGTTGATAATGAAGTATTATGGGGACGATTTAAAAAAAATACGAAGTAGTTGTATATGAGCCATTTAAAAGCCTCATATACCCATACTAGCTATCACAATAGTGTGGGGAAAACGACATCAAACCGGATGAAGAGAAGACATCTTGCTAATTGCTATGATTTAAGAATTCTAACTCTTTAGAGAAATATTGTTATATGTCAAACCATCAAGCGGACATATATATTCGAGAAATGCCTTAGAAAGAAATTGAGAAGCCTTTACAATGTTCCAGTTCCATATGAGCCATGATATAGAATGGATATACAGGGGGTGTATTGGATTAGGAGTTAGTGGCAAAAATTTTAAAAGTCTATTGATTTTAAAAGTTTAGGCGTATTCAATATGGACTTTTAAAAGTCTACAAAAGTCTGAGTGTATTCAATTTAGACTTTTAAAAGTCTATAGAAGTTTAGGCGTATTCAAATTTCTGTTCATTGTTATTGACTTCTAAAATCACGGATACTCGTGGACTTTTAACTCATTCTTAGTACATGAATTCTCTACAATTGTCTCTTCTATTCATTAAAGATTTCCGTGGACTTTTCTTATATCGGTCCTTCATCCCGTCCCACCCCTCCTCTCTCTCCCCCAACTCTCTTCTTCTTTAGTCAACCCCCCCGATCTTCTTCTTCTTCTTCTGCTCCTCCTCCTCCTCCTCCTCCTCCTCCTCCTCTTCTTCTTCTTCTTCTTCAACCCGCCCTCCCCTCCCCCTCTTCTCCTCACCAAAGATTTATGTGGACTTTTATCGTCGTATTCTACTCGTCACAATTATGCATAGATCTGATTGCATATTTAACTTATTATTTACCTGGTATTACAAACCGGCAAACAAGTCCTGGACTAGTACTGGCCGGGACGGAAGGTGGGTACCATGACGGTCTCAATATGCAAGATTTGAACATTAATTTTTGATTTTTTTCTATCACTTTACGATAAATAAAGTTGAACAATTAAGGAGATTCTACATTAATACTGATACACAAGATAAACTTATCCTTTTAATTTCTTTTAAAAAATAAAGAGTGATTTTATGTGTCGTCTTACGGGAAAAAAATGTAGGGATGAGATCAGTTTAGTTCTTGAGTCGTAAATCCCTTATCGATTCGGTTCTAGAAGTGTTTAGAAGAACCGATTCAAGAATCAATAGTATTACATCGGTGCAATTCCGGTATGTTGTCAGTTAATGAAAAAATATAACTACTAATGTGTTTCATCGTTAAATCGCTAACACATAAAAATATAATTTCAAATTACTAAATATTTAACCATAAATAAGTATACAAAATTTAACAAACTAAAAATGAAAAGAAAACAATTAACAAGAAGAAAAGCTCGATTGCACCTATGTTTGTATCACATGTACCAATGATTGTAACACTTGTATAATTATCAATGTTCTTAATCATTGAGTTGTATAGTATAACAATTGATCATCAATAGATCGAGATGGTTGAGCATTTTTGAAACTTTGAGTTTCTTTTAAATAAAAATAAATTTGGATTCGTATGCTTCATTTATTCTTGTAGAACTCTGTGTTGTTGGATGAATTATACGTAGTATTTTTTTTATTCATATATATTATATATATTACACATAAGAAATTACTCACGATAGGACTAAAACATACATAGTAGCATTTTACCAAAGTGTGATCATATGCTTGCTTTTCCTTAAATAGGACTAAATATTACGTTTTTAACCCTAATATAATTACTTAATATAATTCATTTCCCATATTTCCTTTGCGTAACCAAAGTCATTTTGTTGGCAGCGAACTCCCGTGACGAAGGGGGACAGGCGAATCGGTAGCGGCATCTAGGTGAAAATTCTGACGATTGACAATGGCAGTCTGGATTTAAAAGTCCATGGACTTTTTAAGTCTATAAACTTATGTATGGATTTAAAAATCAATAGAATTCATTAATAAAAAAGTCTATGAATTTAAAAGTCCGTAGACTTTTTTTTAGAAATCCATGGTTTAAAAAAAGTCCACCACAATCCATATTCAACACACCTCATAGTAAAGAAACAAATTAACAAATACAACTAAAAATGCAATCAATCAATCATTTAATGTGTTAAAAAAAGACAAAAAAGCAGACGCTTTTTTCTTTAAATTACCATTTCATGATACCATTTTGTATTATTTTCTGAAAGAGATACCATTTTGTATTTAAATAGTTTTGGGAAAAGAAAAATAAACTCTTCTACTATTTTCATTCCATTACTTAAGACAATGCATTAAAAAGTAGGAAAAAGTCACATGAATAATCCCAACTATTAGGGGTCTTCCATTATTAATCCTCAATATGCATAATTCTAAAATAATATGAAGTATAACAAGACTCTTCTTAGAATGAACTGATGACCTGCATTGACCCATTTAATTTGTTATTGGTTTTCATTTTTTCTCCTCCCCCCCCCCTTTCCTTTTTGTTTCAATGTTTCTTTCATCTCCCTTTTCTTTTCCTGTTGGCGACCGAGTGTTCCAGTGAATCAGGTTAGTAGAGTCGGCGTCAACCTACCCCTGTTCCAGCGTCGGCGCGTTGCCACCCAGGTCAGATAAGAAACCGTCGATCGTCTGTCCCAGGTATCGCCGGTGCGCTTCCATCTTATCAGTTCTTGATCACCATCCATCTGTCCATTTTAGTTGTTTAACATCAGTCTCCAGTGTTCCCATCTATTCATCGCCACCACGCGCCTGTTGATATCAACTTGATTGGTCTCCATTTTTGGCCTTCCATCATTCAACTTTGGTCATCGAATGTGATGAATAGTGTCAAATTAGATTTTGGATTGACCTAATCAAATCTTTCAAATGTGAAATTGAAAGAGTGACATACAAATTTGAGGAGCAAATCCGAGAATGAAATCGAAGGTGAGGAGAAATTCATGTGGGTGGAGGAAGAAAAGAAAGAAAAATAACACGACAAGTTAGGGAGGAAGGAAGCAACGAGCGGGAGATAATAGAGCAGGTGAAGATGAATAACCTGGTGTCCATTTATTCTTCTTTTATTTTTTTTACAGGTTGTCTAAGTTGTAGGTAACCTGGATCAACTAGGGAAGACTCACTATAAATTTTAGATTATTTTAGAATTATGCATTTTTTGGATTAATATTGGAAGACTGCTAATAGTTGAGATTATTCATGTGAATTTTTCCTAAAAAGTATCATATAAATATGTTTATTTTAAAAAAATGATTAAATTGGTCATTTATTAAGTTTTTTACTTGTAATAACATATGTTTTATATTAAAAAAACTCTAAAAATGAGCAAAATTTGAAGAAATATAGATTAAAATTGTGAAACTTTTTCAGAATATCAAAGTCAATATTTTTGAAAATTTGAAATTATTTGTGTATTCTACATCTATTTAAAAGGTTCCTACACTTTACATTTTATATTCTTTAAATATTCACTTTACTTTTTCAGTTTTATGATTTTTTATATTTTTATTTTATTTTTTTAAATTATATATCTACTCTTACATTTATGTTATTTTTATAATATTATTAAATTATATTTTGAAAATTATATATATTTTTATAACATCTATCGATAGTTTTAATTCATTTAAAAAAACTAATCGGCTATAGCAAATTAAAATGATTTGATTACATTTAAAAAGTAAACATACATATATGATGCTTTTCTGAGCAAAGGTTGTAAGTGATGTCTTGTAAATATTAGAAGAGTCTATTTGACCATTTTCTCAATAGTTTTTGTGAGCAGAAAGTCAAGTCTCTACACTTTTTAAACTTTTTTCTTAAGAATGGAATGGCATGGGAAAAGGAAACAGCATCGAGACAAATCAAAATTTAAAAATAAAAGTAGTTAATACGAAAATAATGGAGTAAATAGACTTTTCACTCAAATAAAGAAAGTGATAAATACAACAGTAATGGGCCATCCACGAGCCCACGAGCACCTCTTGTTTTAAGCGCAACTTCTCACTTTTCTTCGCGCTTCGATCTTCCCCCGTCTCTTTCTCCATCACGCCCTTTCCCTTCCATTCTATATCCCCGCTAATACTCTCTTCACTGGTTTACTACAGTTTTCCCTTCAATTCCTGGTTTACTCTCCTTTTTCTACAAAAATTTTCGTTTTCAAGTCATGAATATATCTAATTCGTTCAGTTTGGTTTTGATTTTTCGCAGAATTGCAGTAAATAGGAAGGCGAAGAAGCAGTTGGAATTTGGAATTTGGAACCGGATCGAACTTTCATTCTGAAATGGAGACGTCCCGGAAAATCTGCGCGCTTTTTCTATTTACTCTCCTTGCTCTGTACCAGTCTCTCGCCGAAGATGCTCCGGCGATTGCTCCCGTACCGGAAACCGCCGCCAACGATTCCTCCTTTTCCACAACTCCATCTGGTTCTGTATCTCCTCCGGCTCCTCCTCCATCAGATCTCGGATCTCCGTCTCCGTCACCGTCACATTTGAATGCGAAATCGTCCTCACCGTCATCGTCAGTGTCTCCTGATCCGAATTCACAAGACGCAGCGGACAGTCACAGACATGACCTGGATATGAGTATGCATGAGGAGAAATCCAGCGGCAGGGGAAGGAAGGTGGGCATAGCTTTCGGTGTCATCTCCGGCGTCTGCGTCGTCGGATTTGGAGCCGTGGTTTATAAGAAACGTCGGGAGAATATCCGGCGATCTCAGTATTGAAGAGACGGCCGCGGTTCGTTTCGCTAATGCGCGTAAATATCGGGACAAGGTAACCGTGCTCCTATAATAAGAAATTGATTATACATAAATCTTCCGTATGGATAGTTTTGGTAGGATACCCGATTTGGATATGATTGGTTCGACGCTTTTCTGGTTTGTTAGAATTTGTGACATTATTATATGGAGAATCATTCTTACTATTACTATTATTACTATTATTACTACTATACAAGTATTATTATATACTACGTACGTAGTAGTTACTACCTCCGTTCTTAAATAAATGCAACATGTTGAATTTTACACTATTCACATGTTGTACTTTGACTACGGTTTATTTATTAATGTATTATTATATATTTTTGAAACATATATTTTTAAATTCGTCTCATTGTAAACTATCTAAATCTATTTTTTAAAATTTTTTTAATAATAGAGAATTATATATATCAATAGTCAAAGTTATGCCTCGGCAAATGTAAAATGTTGACCGTTGCATTTATTTAAGAACGGAGGAAGTATATAATGATAATATTGGGTGCATCAGAATTTCATTTTTTTCACACGAGAGATGATAGGGACTCGGCAGAATTTATAACCATACACCCTTAGTTAAGGTTATTTCGATAATTATGTACGCCCTCTCCTTCTGTTCCAATTTGTGTTGCAAAATTTTCTATTCTGGTTGTCCCAAAATGATTTTGCATTACCTATTTTAGCTATGTAAATAAGAACAAAGTGACAAATTTACCCTTTTACTTTTTTCATCAACTTAAAGACATCTACTTTTAAGATGATGGACAAAAGTGTAAAAAGTATGCATCATTTATTGTCACTCCTTAATCATTGTGCCGGTCAAAGTTTGCAATTCAATTCCGACCGGAGGGAGTATTAAAACCTTCATTTGCAAGTGGAAGGACAAGATTTATTTGGTTTTAGTTTGTTTTGCTTTTATTTAGTTAGATTTTTTTGATAATTTCATGGCATTAACAGGAATTTAAGAAATAAGAATACAAAATTATAGACAATGAGATCAAGAATCATGTATCTGCGTATATCTTATTAGGGGAATCTGGTGTAAACATAACGTGTGTATAATCTATTATCACCAATATTCATACAAAGTAATAGTTAATTTTCTTTGTATTTAAGTCTAGATTACCTAAATCGGTTGAAATTGTGGTGTTATGTACGAGTATCACGGAATAAAATTACAACGAGCGTATTGCATAGAGTAATTTTAAATTTAAATACTTGAAATATACGAACTATGATACGGCCTACGGAGTACAAAGTTGTAGTTACTAGTTTTAATCCTATATACATTATCCGTCATAGCTATAAGAGAAAAGGGTAAAATAGGCCCTCGAACTTACACAAAAAGGTCAAATAAGTTCTTATATAGGAGGTTTTGTCTGGTCGTCGCCATTTGTGGCGGTTTCTGATGGAATTTTTTGATGAATATTTTTTGAGCATCTTATTCATCAAGTCTAGTTTACTCATTCCAAATTTAAGCTAAAACTTCAATCGGGAAGACATTCAAAATAATTATTGAAGATAATTGCGCAGTAAAAAGTCACAGTACGGTTAACCGACTCTCAAGAACAAATGATTCATGGTAATGGTTATGGTTTTAAAATAATGTTAATCTGGTTAACCAATTACTGAAATTTGAAATAAAATATACTACGATCTACGGAATTGAACTCCTCTCCAGTGTAGGGGTGTGCCGGTTCCGGGCCGGGCCCGGTTCGGGCCTTGAACCGGCCGTGCCTCGGTTCAAGGTAGGGGAGGCCCGGAACCGGCCCGGGTAACCCCGGGTCCAGTTCGGGCCGGGCCCGGGTAACCCCGGGTCCAGTTCGGGTCGGGCCCGGTTCGGTTCTATATAATTTTTTTTTGGGGTTTTCCTAATCAACCCCCTGCCCTCCCTCTCAACCCCAAACCACCCCAAACCACCTCAAATGGCCCAAAATACCCAATCCAACCCAAAAACTTAAAAAAAATTCAAAAAAAAATAAATAAATCCGGACCGGGCCCGAACCGGCCGGGCCGGTTCACCAAAATGAAGGCCCGAGCCCGGAACCGGTAGCCACCGGGCCGGGTCGACCCGAACCGACCATGGGCCGGGCCGCCGGGTCAGGCCGGTTCAAACAGTGACCGGGCCGGGCCGGTTCCGGTTTGGGCCGCCCGGCCCGAGTCCATCCCTACTCCAGTGACTGGAAATTTCCAGTTGGAGAGAGAGGGAGATAGATGAGAAGGTGGGTGGGGTAGGGAAAAAAAAGGTGGGGTGAGGTTAGTGATTTGTAGGGGAGTGATAGAGTGAAAAAGAAATGGAGAGAAAGAAATGGAGAGGAGTATGATCCCCATCTACTATATTGTATCATGCCATGTGCTTCTAATTCCCTCTAATGCTACGCAGCTGTGGTAATAACTCATACGAAGTAATAATTGTTACTGATCAATACTTTATGCCCAGATAAATACGCATATCCGAATATTTTCTCTAATCCAATGAGCCCAAATATTCGTAGTTTGTTGGAAAATTATCACAAATAGACAAAAAAGTAAAAATAATATCACTTTTGTTACCTTTCTAAATTTCTTTCAAAAATAGACTCTCAGAAAATCTTCTTTTCACAAATAGTCTATCTACATAAATCGGTTCGTGGAAAGCTGGAACCACTACCACTAAGTACCAACTTCAAGAAATGCTCGTAAGGTTCCAACTCTATGATAGAAAATAATATAAAAATTATATTATAACTGGAAATAGAAAACTCAATTCTATAAAAATTATTTTATACAACTTTTTAAGAAATACTCAATTCTTGTTTGCAAATAGAAAATAATATAAAAATTAGTAAATGTAAAAAAATGAAAATAACTGGAAATTTTTGAAGAGAAAACGAAAATACTTAAACTAAGAAAAACAAAAATGAATTCCAAAGAATTCGGAGTTGAAAACTTAAAAAATTAAATTAAAATCTCAGAAAAGGGATAAGAGTGTTAAGAATTAAATTAGATTTTTTTTAAAAAAAATTAGAAATGAAAATACTAAAAAATAATTTTCTTTAAGTTAGAAAATATACAACAATTCGTTTTTCTGTAATGTAACTATTTTAAAACGTATACTCCAAATTTAAATGTATAAAATCAAACAATCAAAATATAAAAGTCAAATTTATATATAGTTAATAAAAGGGGATATGTGTGTGTGTAAGAAAAAGAACTTTTTTTAAAAACTTAAAAGTATAAATAATATTTTAAAAAATCTAAAATCTTAAAATTTAAAAAAATATAGTTTATTTTTGAAAGTATGAAAAGTATATAATATACTCCGTAATATAAGTTATTTTTGAAAGTATGAAAAATATGATAACAATTAAGCTGTTTAGAAGGGCTAACATTTGTAAAATATAAATTACAAAAATTATAAAATATCTAAATAAATACATAGATTTAAAGAAAAATAAAAAATGTAGTATAAAACATTTAAACACAAAAATAAAAACTTAAAAACACTAAAAACTGTAAATTGATTTTGAAAAATGTAAAATATATTCCCAAAAATAAAAGTGTGAAACAATTAAAGTATATAAAATGTAGAAAGTTGTAATAAATTAAAAGTTGTAAGAAAATTAAAAAATACAGAGTATGAATTTTTGAATTGATATTTTAGTTACAGAAATTAATTATTATAATTAGGGCATATTATTGTTAGTTTTTATAGGATGTTGTTTCATTATGTTTCATTTTGTTTTTTTGAAAATTATGTTTCACTTTGTTGAAAACTATGCAACTTTTGGTTTTTATTGTTTATTCATGTTTCATGTGGATTTTCTTAAAATATAATATTATGGTAGATATGTGGTTTTTATTTCAATGCAATAAAAATGAATATAAACCTAATTAAACAACAAAAATGAAAAAATGTACATTAAAAAAATAAATATACAAGGGTCAACAAAAAAGAAACACAATAAAACAAAAAACAACATGATACAACAAAAAGCAACAAAAAAGTGCAACAAAGAGCAACAAAAAAATCATATTGAAGTATCACAATTTTGAATATGAATTCCCACATTCAAGATGAGAATTATCCTTAAAATATAACAATATTAAATAATGTACCAATAAATTGGATTTTCAGTATATATACATTTACATAGGGGTGAACAAAATTAAAAATTCAAAAATTAAAACCGACCCAATGAGGGCTTCCTAGTTCCTTTCCAGTAGAGTAATTATGCCATATTTCAGTTTGTGCTTCTTCACAAATTCAACTTTGGCAGCTCTTTCTTTAATTGTGTGATGGAATCAATTTGAAGAGTTTTCATGCCTAATCAACAGTCAAATAACAAAAAGAAACACATTACAATAGAAAGCAACATGCAAAAGAAACAAAAAGCAACAAAGAACATATAAAAATAATGCTACAACTATACAATTCAATGTCTTTCACATTCATAAATGCATCAAAACTAATAACATTTTTTTTGAAAATTAGCAAAAAGTTAAAAGATAATTTGGCAAGGGATGAATACATATATGCACTAAAAGGAAGGTAAACAAAATTTAGCAAAAGTCAGGAGAACAATCCTCTTCCAGAACTAGTGAGCATAAAAACTCTTAGCAACGATAAATTTATTACAATGCATAATAATGCTCATAAAAAAAGAACTACCCTCTCTATTATTACACTCATGACTCATGAGAAACCAACCATCAGTAGCAAGTCACTTTTATTCATCTCATCTAGATTTTTGCAAGTAGATTATCTCCTAAGCAATGGAAATCCCTATTTCGAAAAATTGTACCTGCCAGCAAAGCACACTCCAAGTTGAAAAGTCTTGCTACACTAGTTTTTGGGTGTCGGGATTGCATGCTTGTACAGCTCAACAATAGTCTCAAAGTATAAACCATGATCATGTTTAGTCCTTTTGCCAGTGACATTTTTACAGAAAATCGAAGTTCATCCTCTGCAAATTTCTACTCCGTATTAGTTTCCATATTTTGCAAGGTTTTCTCTATGGATTTCCTAATACACAGTTGAACATTTTTATCTTCATATTAAAAAATACACAAACTGCAGAGCACAATTACCTAAAGCCAAAATTTTCTTCCCCAAACAATTATAAGAGAAATAAAAGTTTATACAACGATCTAAAGAAAAGTCAAAGATGAATCCAAACACACTTTTAGCTACAACATAAAATCAAACATTAGAACT